AAGGTAAATACATGAAATTTGCAATCATGCTCTTGGGTAAAATGGTTCAGACTTGCATGGGTGAACATTATGTTGTCTCCCTACTATAAAAAACTGAAGGAGTTTGTGGAATCCAAAATGTACAATAGATACTGTGAAAGTGAAAGGGGAAGAGCTAAAAAGGGAAGGAACAACTGAGATGGGGGAAAGGAGAAAAGAAAGAAAGAAAGAAGAGAAAAGAATATATATATATATATATATATATATGTATTTATGTATTTACACTACTAATCTTTGTTAGCCCAACAAAAAGAACAGTTTATGCTTTCATTGTTGGATCATTTCTTCAGGCTTATGTCTTGGTAATCTGAACAACTACTTTGAAGACAACAATATGCAACATATTGACCATTATTAGTTCCCTATTATTCTTTTTAAAATTTTGAATCATCATTTTTATTTTTTTTTCTCTTTCCATTTTTAAAAAAGAAAAAACAAAGTGCATTAGCACCAAGAAAAATTACATGCTTAAGAATTAAGCTAACCAAGAAAACTAAAGACCTCTACAGTGAAAACTTCAGTGTTCAGAAAAGAAACAAACAAAAAAATTAGAAAACTGCAAATATTCCCTTCTCCTAGATAAGCAAAACTAAATGTAGTAAAAGTGACCATAATTTTAAAACACATATATAAACACACACACACACACACACACACACACACTACAATCAGAATCAAAATACCTACAGTATTTTTCACAGTTCTTGACAAAACAACCCTAAAATTTATAATGAACCAGAAAGACCCAGAATAGCAAATGCAACTCTGGGTAAGAAGAGCAAAACAGAAGGTTACATAAACCCAGATCTGAACTCAGAAAGCTGTTTTGATAAAAATATCATAATAACAGCACAGCACAGACATACGGATCAGTGGAATGACACAGAAGATGCATAAAAGCTATGGATCTTTGACAAAAGGGCCAAAAATCCACAATGGATAAAAGATAGCCTCTTTAATAGTGTTGAGAAAATTGTTTCTCTTCATGCCAATACAGACCTATACATCTCACCATGTAACACATTAAATCAAAATGGATCACTGATCTAATTGTTAAAAGAGAACACTTACTCAATTGGAAGATAAAAATAGATAAAATGCTTGAAGACGATGGCATAAGCAAAACACATTCCACAAGAAATAACATCAAGAATCCACAAATGAAATCATATAAAATTAAAAACCTTTTGCACAGCATAAGAAGCAACATTGAGTGAAAACATGACCTACAGAATGGGGAAAAAAACTGTCAATTCAAACAGAAGACTAATATCTAGAATATGTAACTAACTCAAAAAAGAAAAAGGAAACCTCAAAATAAAACTCAATAAAAATTAACAACAGAAATGAACAGACACCTCTCAGAAGAAAAATTTCAAATGGCCAAAAAAATACTTTATAAAATGCTGGATATCCCTAGCCATTACAGAATTGCAAACTACAATCACACCAAGATTCCATCTTTGTCCAAAGAGAATTGCTATCATCATTAAATCAGTAACAAATGTCAGAGAAGTTGCAGGGGAAAAGAAATGCTTCTACTTTGCTGGTGGGAATGTAAAATAGTACAACAATGTAAATCAGTACTGAGATTCCTTTAAAAATTAAAAATAGAAATCCCATCTGACCCAGCTACTATTCTCCTTTTAGGTACAGTCCTGAAACACATAAAAGTAATCAAATTACAGTAATGTATATATACCCATGTTTCTATGAGAACAAAATATAATAGCTACATCTTGGAAGCTGCCTATACACCATGAACAGATGCACACATAAGGAAAATGTGGTATTTACACACAATGGAGTACTACTTTGCCAGAATTAAGGATAAAATTGAGTCAGATGTAGGGAAATGCATCTTTAGACCATAATATTAAGTATAATAAATCAGACACACAAACAAGTATAATAAACCAAAAATATAAAGAACTCAATAAGGGAAAGATAGTAAATCTTTCTCATATGGGAAGGGGAAAAAGACATGAAAGGAGAGGTAATGAGGTGTGGTGGCATATCCCTGTGATCAGCACTCAGGAGCTAGAAACAGAAGGATGACCACAAGTCCCTTGCCAGCCTGGACTACATGGTGAGGCCCTACCTCAAAAACAACGAAAAGCTAACAAAGAGATGGGGGGCGGAGGGTATGGGAAGGAGTTGAAAACAACCATTAAGATGTATCATGTCCATACACCGATTCTCCATAAAGAATGTAATCATTATACATAGAAATATGTACTAATAAAAAATAAAAAACTATAAAAAAGATATGAGAGATATAATGGAATGGAATACTATTTAGCTTTTAAAAATCCTGCAATTTTCAACAACATGGATGAACCTAGATGATAGCAACCTTAGTGAAAAAATCCACACATAAAACAACAAATTCTACATGCTCTTATTTCTGTGTGGGATAAAACAAACAAGTCAAACTAATCATAGAAGCTATTCGTAGACTCCTGGTCACCAGAAGCTGAGTGAGGTAGAGTAGGACATACAGGAAAGATGTTGGCCAAAGGACACAAAATTTCAATTAGGACAATTAATCTCAACAAACTTCTTCCACAGTATGTGGACTTCAGTTAAAAAACATTCTAGGTATTTGGAAACTGCTGAAGAATAGATTTTAAGGGCTATTACTACAACAAATGATAACATAATAATGCGACAGCTGGGATTTCATCCTATAAAAAAGCTTTTGTACAACAAAAGAAATCACCAGTAGATTGAAAAGAGAACCTGCAAAGTGGGAAAAATTTTAGCCAGTTGTCCCTAAACAAAGGACTAATATCTAGAACATATAAAGAATTAAAGATAATTATACTCTGCAAATTTAGAGACTCCATTCAAAAATGGGCATCTAAGATTAATATATACTTCTCAGAGGAAGGAATACAAATAGCAAATAAATATATGAAAAAATGTTTGACATCACTTGTCTCTGGAGAAATGCAAATTAAAACAACACTGAGATTCCATCTCACTCCACAAAGAATGGCCATTATTAAGAATTCAACTAATAACAAACACTGGAGGGGCGGTGGGGGAAAAAGGAGCACTTTTCCACTGTTGGTTGGAGGGTAAACTGGTGCAATCGCTGTGGAAATCAGTGTGGAGATTGAGGTATAGAGATCCCATTTGACCCAGCTATTCCCCTTCTTATCTTCTCAGAAGAATTAAAGACATCATAGTATAGCAATATACACACACCCATGTTTATAGCAGCACAGTTTGTAGTAGGTGAATCTTAAAAACAACCCAAATGACCATCAACCATGGAATGTATAAAAAAGGTGTTTTTTTTTTAAACAATGGAGTTCTACTCAGCCATAATAAAGGATAAACTTGCGACATTTCTAGGCAAATGGATGCACCTTGAAACCATAAGTGAAATACAACAAACACATGTATAAACCTTGCACTGTTTCTTTTGTGTGAGAAACCGAAAAGGTAAATAAAGAGCAAACTGTATAATAGATATAGTGAAATAGGAAGAAATGGTTCAAAAGACTGGTGACCTAGAGAGTGATGACAGGATAAGGAGGTAAGTGAAAAACATGACAAAAAAAGGATGAAATAGAAACAACATTGTGTAAGAAAGGAAGGAAAGGGGTTGAAAAGATAAGAGGGGATTGGACAAAAAGAGGAAACAGGATATATCATGTATAGGTACAAATTTCCCATGATGAATGTGATCATTATATATATATATCTAAATTGTACCAATAAACTTAGTTTAAAAAAAAATAGTGACAACCAGATAATCACTGAAAAATAACTTAGGAATGTAATAATTATACCAAAGCATAATTTAATTTTGGAAAAACTTTCAAAGAGTTATATATAAACAATTTTTAAGTATTTCAAATAATGAGAAATAAATTTAATGCACTTTAATTAATAACACAAAAATTGGCAAACTACAAATTTTTAAACCTTATGGGAAATAGTCTCTGTATTCTAAATCTTCTCCTTAATTGCAAGGATAATGATACATCTCATAGCCAACAGGGTAATTTTTAATGCCAGACTTGAAAGGGTTGATTTAATCTGCATATTTCTTCTGTAATGCCACCCCATCACTAAGAAAGTTAATGGATGTGTCACACCTGAAACCCTGACTCTTCAAGATGTTTGCTTTTTCCAATGATGGTGAACATTTTGGAGACAGAGTCCACAAACTACAACCCAAAACTTACGTATTTACCACCAAGTGCCAACACTGCAATTAAACCTGAATGCTTAAGTTTTAGTTTAGAAAACACAAGTCACACATTAACATCTTTCTCCTTGAAAGAAAAATACAGCAACATGCCTGCCATAGGTTCACCACACTGCTAACCAACTAAAGCAGAGTTTTTCAGAACATGCTCAGAATGAAACGAACACCTGGAGAGAGTCATGCCTTCACCAGTTGCCTCAAATGCACACTGTGCCTTCAAACCTTAATAGTCCCTAAGCCACCAGAGCCAGAATGAGTGTTTATTTGCTCCTCCCAGTTTCTGTAGATAGCAGAACCACAAGGAGCACCTACTTACAGGATTACTTTTCAGGAGCATGAAAATATATTCACCAGAAGCCCATGGTGAAGATGAATAATAATATTTACATTCTTAGCAAAGCGATATATCCAAAAATATGTAATAAAGGTGAATAATCAATAAATTCCAAGCCATGAAATTCCAGTCTAAAACAGTTATATTTGGTAGTTTTATTTCTGAATACGAAAGCAAAATAATTATTGTAATAATTTAAATAAAACTGAAAAGGTGCACCTAATTTCTTTGTTGACATAACTTACTAAGATTTGAATAGGGAAAAAAGATGAAAAGTCCAGAGGCATTTTATATTCTTAATAATTATCTGACAATTACCCCCTCATTATCTGCTAATGAAGGATTCAGCTTGAAATTCCTAATATTTCTGATGCTACAGGTATGTTACTTCAAAAGTCCTACCTGGGAAGAGACTGAGAAGGCTGACTGGAGATTTGTTGGTATCAATGGTTAGTTTGTGGCTTGCAGATTTTGAAGGCTGACCTGGTAGGCAGATTAGCTTCAGGGGGAGTCTAAATTTACACTGGATAACTCGAGGAATGCCTGAAACAAAAGACAGAAATGCAGATCTATAGATTTAACAAATAATTTACAAAAAGAGTAGTTGAAAGTTTGAGTGGCAACATATCTTAGTTTATGAAATTTCTTGCCTGCCTATTTTGTTTAGTGTAACTAAAATAATTGTACAGTGCTGTTTTTACTATTTATACTATATACTATACTATAAAACTATATCATGTTTTTACTATTTTCAAAAAGTGCAAGGCAAAAATAAAATCTTAAGTGAAGCATAAGCGTGAAGTGTACTTTTCATAGTAGCACCATGTTTTTTTTTAAATTGTCACATTTGTACACCATAAAAATCATTATAGTTACTTACACAATTACTACATTGTCTTTGAACTAAGATCTTCAAAACTCTAGGTCTAATCGATGACTATCAGCTAAAATGCATAAAGAATGTAAAGTTTGTATTGAAAGATTCTCTGTAATCATATCTAAAATTTTCTCTACTCAAAATACTTTAAAGATTTAGGGTTTTTTAAATTATTAAAGATTCAAGTTGTATAAACAATTTTCAATAAATTATGACCCTGCAAGCATGATTTCACTCTTCTGAAATTCCACTGAAGTCCATGTCCATTTTATACGTTATTATGAAGGATATTACTTTCATGGGAATTAAATTTCTTTCAAGCCATGTAACTTTACGTATCACTTTAAGTAACATTTTGAAAAGTTTACATAGTCATTCTGAATAAAATAACAAGTTTCCTATCAGAATTTTACACAACTTCTAATCTTTTTTTCAGTACTTTTACAGAGGACAAAATTGAAGCTCAAGTAAATTAGTTTCTCTACTTAAAGCAAACACTTCAAGCTTAATTTTCATTTCTTTGATTCTAGAACTCTTTTTTTTAAGTTTGAAAAGAATAAAACCAAATGAGAAAGAAAAGAAAATGGGGTCAGTCAAAACAAAAGGATGGACATGGCATATGATTAAAACCACAATACAAGGTGATCTACAATGGTTACTATGATGTCTCTTGTTATTTTCAATAGAACTGTCTGTATCATCAGGCATAGTATAATTGAACATAGAAGTACATAACAATATTAATAAAAACAAAACACTGGGGATGTTATAGAACTTCAAAAGCAAGTAAGAGTCAAACCAGAATGGATATCCTAATGAATCTTGTCATTTTCAGAGTAGTTGCCTATACTCTCAGACTTGATACTATCAAACATAACAGATTCAAATAAAATCAGTCAAGATAAAATAGCAATCTAACAAACCAGACTCAAATAAGATCAGTCATAATAAGACAGGGTAAGTTATACAGGGCTTCAGATTAAATTAACAGGAAATTAAGGATGATTACCATAGTATATCCCGCTATTTTTGGAATAGCTATCTGTGCCCTCAAATCTAGTACAAGTAGACAGACTGGAACAGAATTTAACCAAACTAAACAACACAATGAGAATAACGTGGATTTTAAATCCTGGTACACTATTACAATGTCCTCTACCTTCCTTTTTAAGACAATTCCTCCCCTTTCACTTTCACAGGGCACATTGTACATTTTAGGTCCCACTAACTCCTTTAGTTTTTAGATTAGGGAGGCAACCCACTATTTAGCTAAGTGGTTGTGAACCTTTTTACCTCTGAGCTTGATCTTAAGTTGTATTCCTTTACCTACAAAAGCCTCAAGGTTTCCCTTGCTTATAGCTGAGTAGTTCTCCACTGCACAAAACTGTCATGTCTTTGCATTCTATTTGCTGCTTCTTGATGAGCTGCCCCTATTTCTCTGTGGTTCCCTGTCACAGAGCATTATTTTTCTCCTCTTTGACTTTCAGTCCATAAACCCTCTTTCAGGTTGATTATATTTCCTATACAAAGCATCTTAATGGACCCTATCTCCTGATCTACTCTGCCTGTGTCTCTTTTTGTTAAGTTGTATCAAGGCCATCTGTGTTAGAGATTATAGCCAACCTTCTCTGCCTCATCTCTGCTATGCTATTTTTCTGCCATTGGTTGTCTACTTTTCCCCTTCATTCCACTGTCTGCCCCATTTATTGAGGTTTCTCTACCAGTGTTCCTGAAACCCTGGTGCTTTTTTTTTTTTTTCCTCTTCCTCTAGAATGTCCTTCAGTATTTTTTGTAGGGTTGGATTGGTAGTCATGAACTCCCACAGTTCCTCTTTGTCATGGAAACATCTAGTTTCTCCATGAATTTTGAGAGACAATTTTGCAGGGTACATCAATCTGCGTTGGAGGTTATTTTCTTTCAGGACTTGGAATACTTTGTTCTAAAGCTCTTCTTGATGGTTTGTGTCGATAAGTCTGTCATGATTGTGATGGGTTTTCCTTTATAGGTGATCTGTTTCTTTTCTCTGATAGTTTTTAATATTGTGCTCTTGTGTTGAATTTCTGGGATCTTGATTATTGTATGTCTGGGCGTAGATCTGTTTTGGTTGTAGCTGGCTAGAATTATGTATACTTCATATACCTGAATATCATTTGCTTTTCCTATGCTTGGGCACTTTTCCTTAATTACTTCTGTGAACAGCCTTTGTATTTCATTTGTGTTTACCTCTGCTTCTTCACTCACATTTTTTATTTTTATTTTTATTTTTATTTTTGTCTTTTTCCTTTTTATCGGTACCAGGGATCAAACTCATGACTGCCTGCTTGCAAGGCAGGCGCTTATGCCGCTGAGCTAAATCCCCAGCCCCCACAATTTTTATTAAGTTATAGATCCTCTTGTCATCTTCTAGCCTTTGTATTGTTACTTCCTGGTTCCCTGTTATTTTTAAGAGATCTTTCCTTTTGTGATCACACATTGAAAACTTATCTTCAAGTTTTGATAGTCAGTGTTTTTCAAGCAATTTGCCAGCTTTTAATGGAGTTTTTAATTTCTTGGTAGTCTCTTTGAATGTTTCATGTATTCTAGACTTTTTTTATATTCTTCATTGAAGGTTTCCCTTTTTCTGTGTCCTCCATTCTTCCATCCGTGTCTTCTTGAGAGGTGCTCAGCATTTCTTGTATTAATCTTATGTCTTGCTTCACTTGTATTAGTATTTCTGTTTTGAGTTCTTCTATAATGTCACCAAGATATCTCTTTATGCAGCTGATGCCGTTTCTGATATTGCATGTTTGCTGCCCTTTATCTCTTCTGTGTTTACCTCTTACTGGACCCATATTCCCTGGGTTGGCAGCTGGGGACTTTTTTCTTGCTTCTTTCTCTTGTCACGTTTCTGGTTTCTTCCAGATAGGTGTATGTGGGAGGTCCCAGGGACTTTCTGTATTGGTGGTTATGGTTACTCTGAAGCAGCTGGCTAGGAATTGCTGCCCTCTACAGTTTGCTGTTGATCACTTAGGTGGCAAACAAGGGAGGTGTGGGCTAGCCCCTTCTCTCTGAGCTAGTCAACCAGCAGGGGCCTTTACCACATTAGTGTGTGCCCTGCGGACTGGTTCAGGACAGTTTCAGTGGCAATTTCATCCCTGGCTATTGGGTCCTGTTCAGGGGCCTGACCCAGCCCAAGCAAATCCCCACAATCTGCTCTGTGCCAGGAGTGGCCAACTGAAGCCACTGTAGTTCCAGGTTCAGGCCCGTCCTGCCCAATTCTAATATGCCGTCCAGCCAGTCACCCTTCCCATGGAAGGACCAAATTCCAAGCACTCACCGTGGGCTAGTGCAGATCTCTATGCTGGCTCCATTCTCAATTGTGGCACATCCTCCTGCTAAGGGCCTCTGGCTTGCTAACTCCCAATTTCAGCCTGACCATGAGTTGTCTGACTCTAGGGCACCTAGCACAGCATGGGACCAGCTCTGGCTCCAGCCTTCTGTCCATGCTTTTCTTTTTTTTTCCTTAATTTCTTCCTGGGTCATGAGAATCCCTCTCTTTTCATCTGGTATTCTCCATGATGTTAAATTCTAGCGTCTGAGCTGTTTCTCTCAGAGAGGCTCTTTACCTTGCTACTTATCAATCCACCATCTTCTCAGGAACCTAGGACTATGCTTTTGACTGGATAAGAAGATGAAAGATGAAACACTGAATATAGAATTTTATATCTTAGTGTAATGCATATGACTCCAGAGAATGTAAAACTCAAAATGACCTACTCTTCTCAATGGATCAGAACATTGTTTTATTTCACTATAGTGGCGTCTATGAGAAATTTAAGAATAGCAAAAGCAGAAGCAGCCAAGACAGAGACACAACTCAGGAAGTCTCCCTAGAGTTTGCCATTGAGTTTGCTAATGAGAGTGGGTGCTGAGGGCTGACTCCACCTCCTGCACACTCTCCTGCACCACCTGTCCATAGTAAGGCAAATGATCACCCACAACGGACATGTGAACCAATTAAACATGTTCTCAGAGCATGTGAAGCATGCTTCTCATTTTCTTCAACACTGGCAATTTTACCACCAAATTTTACCCAATTTATCTTTTGCTCATAACTAACAGACATTAAATTCACTTCCCTTGAAACACTTGACGCAAATTATTACTGGTGTTTCTCAAGATATTCCCAGATTATTTCCTGACATTTGTAAGGTTTTCAGAAGCATGTGTGTATATAATTTATAATAGTAAATGTTTTTACTCAAAAATATTATGGTAACATAATCTTAGATATCAGCCACACCACAACTATCAAAACCACTACAAATAAAGTGACAAAATACTAATTTCTTTAACACTGAATAAATTTCTGAATTTAACACTGAATTTAAACACTGAATAAATATATTCTACCTAAATTTCTGAATTTAACACTGAATTTAAACACTGAATAAATATATTCTACCTGTACCCCAATTATGAAAAGGGACCCCCATGAATATGCTTCTGCTATGATAAGTTACAGTCTCAACTAATAGATTCGGTCTGGAAAGTACAAAGAAATGGAAACCTGTTTCTGTCTCTTCTATTTTTTTTTTTTTTTTTTTGTCTTTTTCCTTTTTATCGGTACCAGGGATTGAACTCACGACTGCCTGCTTGCAAGGCAGGCGCTTATGCCGCTGAGCTAAATCCCCAGCCCCTGTCTCTTCCATTCTTAATGTACAGTACATAACAAAAATGCTTCAACTGACAATTCTACCTACATATAAAGGTAAATGAGATTCTATATACTTTTTCTAATACCAAACTCTGATCTAATTGTTCAAACAAAAGTTTTGCTACAAATGTTCTTCTAACTCTGTACAATGACTTGTGTGTTACTTGGACCAGGTACTGCTTAATTCATGGTTTATAGCAATTTCAAAGGATCAGCAACACTGGCTTTATATAACTGAGCCTACAGATCTGACGATTACCCTAAATCTCCAAGATCTCCATCTAAAGAGAAGTAGTATACACAAGTTTTCAGAAATGGAAGCAAATGGATGGCAAGCACTAATAACCGCAACAGGAAAATACATTATAACTCCATCCACAGTTCAGTTAGATCGGTTAATGACAATCACACACTAGGCAATGGTCCACAATTGCTAAGATTTGTAGAATGTCTCCAGAATTTTTCTTTCCAGGAATTTTAAATCTGTTTCACAGGACATTTGGAAAACATTATGTTGAAAAACGATGACACTCATATTTAATAAAAATGATGGCAAATTGAAGAGTTTTACCATTAGGGAAAACAAAAAATAAAATCCTTTAGAAACCAGAAGCCATACTATTAGGAGAAAAATTAGAATGCCACTATTTTGTGGCACTTTTTTAAAAATTAAAATCCAAGCATTTCAAAATATAGTCTGTAGTATGTAGATAAGGGTTTACTGGAGGGATAATTCCAGTGGGACTTACACTTCCTTGATAAATTTCAATTTCAATTTGGCTTCTAACTATTCATCACATTGTAACTGTATCAAGGACCCTGAAACCAAAGACTTGTAGAGGCAAATTGGTGGGTATGCATGTGTAGATCTGTAACAAAGAAGAAAGAATTATCTGTATTTCAGGAGTTTCCAAAGCTACTCATAAAAGAGTCTTCAACTTAGTTGAGAGGCTAAGCAGATCTAATGCTGCCCACCAGCAGTGACATTTCCTGTATATAATTGATAAAGCAGTTTCTGTATCTGGCTTATTCAATTCTATGAAAGTTAAATTGAGGAAAATTAAACTTTTAAAATTTCTTTTACCCAACTATGGGCTAATCATTCACCACTCTGATTTTTTTCTGTAAGGTTCATCTTTCTTTCTTTCTTTCTTTTAACCATATAATCTACCTGTCCTTAAATATTCCTTTTCCCTTAACCTATTAGAGAAATGGACAGGGGCAACTACTATGGTGAAAATAGTCACAAAATTATTTCAAACTCAGAAAGAAAATTCCCATTAAAAAATCCTATCTTCTGAAAGAGAATCTTAATTGTGCCTGGCACACCTAAAAGCCCAAGATTACTGTCAAATAGGCATCAAAACTTGCTTTGAAATGGAAAATAGCAAATATGTTAGAGCAGGATAGCTCTGTCTGTGTATCTCACATCTAATAAGGCCTCAGCACTCTTCCCAGGACTGCTAGAGTCATTTCTTACTGCAAACAAGGAACACGGGAGCAGTAGCATAGTCTGGGAGCCAGAACTTCCTGCCCCCTTCCTGTTATGTCTGGCTGCATTCTAGGCTTCATCCGCAGTCGTGTTTCACACTGCCAGCGTCCCGTCACTTTAATGCAGGAATAATGGAGACCAACTCTTGTGGGACAACATAAACCTCATTTGCTTCTCTTTTCACATGTAGGAGCAGGACTGTACCTGCACCACAGCCTGGATCAATCAGGACAATAAAACAAATTGTTCACTGAAATATGCAGCTTCCTGTATAAAACCTCAGTGGTACCATGTTATTTTCTTGCCTACTAGGTACAGGTGATGATTTAAACTCTGTTCTCTAAAGCTTAATTAGAATTTTAAAATGTATCAGAAGAAATTATTAAAAACCATTATGGCTTTGTATTAAAACACTAACATTTTCATAAGTCATGATTATTTTTCCTCACAGTTTGGGCTGGATTTACAGAAAGGGAATAAATTTCTTTTTAACAATAAAGCTTACTGGATTTTTAAACTTTAAAACTACTCATCTAAAAAAATAATATTCTGGAATTTTATAAAATTCTATCCAAAATCTTTCAGTAGCATGCATCTTGAGAAATAAAATGTAAATCTTCATCATTAATAATAGCAGGTTGTTCTAATTTGGTAAGTGTTATGACTTGTATCTAGACAACGCTCCCCCCAACATCTCCCACACACCTAGGTGGGGCTTTTGGAAGGTGGCTGCATCACGGGTGTGTAGCACTGGGATTCAAGTGTATGGTACTGGAACAGGCCACTAGTTGGACTAACGAGGTTCTAGGTGTGGCTGAATGGATTTAATGAAGACTGCAGCCTCCCTCTGGGTGTGGGGTTGCAACAGCCAATAGGTTGGTAGCTTAGATGGAATATACAGTAAAGGGAAAAGAAAGCCAAGGCTCCTGCTCGTGTGTGTCTGCCCTGTGATGGAGTATTTCTCCTCTGCAATTCTCCTCTGCTATGTTGCCCTGTCTTGAAACCAGCTATGGACTGAAGCCTCTACAAACTGTAAACTAAAATAAACCTTTCTCCCTTTAACTGTGGGATGTTGTGCACTTTGTTTCAGCAGGGAGGAAGTAACTAACACAGTAAGCATTGTCGGGCTAAACTAAACATTTCTCCCTACTGAGACTTTCTCACACAATTGCATATTCACCTTCACATTTCAAGCTGATAGATGCTATGTGACTTAAGGCGTTGGCATCACCAAAACTGTAAGGGAAAATAGTGTTGTGCTTTTAAGCATATTAACTACATTTATTATTAATCAATTAATTTTTTATTTAAATTTCATGTCGACAAAAATATTTTTAGCGAAGATAAACCACCATATGAGGTATATATATCGAGGATGAAATAATCAAATTAAGGAATAATTTTAGGGCTTACTCTGTACTCTGATATTGCAGAATTCAAAGACTTGCACTTGTTCCCTACCCTCAAAGAACTGAAAACGTATTAGGAAAAGCCAAGTAACAAAACTTATTGAAAGCTGCATTATATTTTATAGCAGAGTCATAAATGAAGAATTTATGAGGGAGGGACAAATACAACACTGATCCTGCAGTTCAGGGGGCCAGACATTCGTTTGTTTGTTCTTTTGGTTTCTGAGGCAAGGTCTCCTTAAATTGCCCAGCATGGCTCAAAACTCCCCATCTTCCACTTCGGCCTCCCACACAACTAGAATTACAGGCATGTACCACACACCCTGCCAAACAGCCAGGCCATCCAACAGAGTCCCCAACAAACTCTAAACAAGACAAGAAACAGGCTTACAAAATAAGCACACAAGCCACTTTTAATGTTTTTTTTTTTTTTTTTTTTTTTTTGTGGGACCAGGGATCGAATACATGACCTCTCGCTGGCCAGGCAGACACTGCTGCTAAATCCCCACCCCACACAGACTACTCTTATCAGAGACCAAGGTAAGTCTCCTTGGACACTAAACTAAAATTGTTAGTAAAACTAAACTAAAATTGATAATTCCCTGTGGAAACATCTACCACGCTTTCCTGAGGAGGATCAAGGCATTTAGTCATCCTAATGAAGCTTGTATAATTAAAATAAAACAGCAGTTTATATGCATACTTCATTCACGATATAATATTATTCAGTTCACCAATACAATTTCAGTTGGGAAACTATTTTTTTCTTTTCACTTACCATCAGGATTTCGATCTGTCCATCAGAGGCAATGCAAAAATGTGTGGGAGAGGAAAAAATGCAACACGTTATCCACGATAAAGATACAAAACAAATTTAACATGTCTGCTTAAAATACAAATTAAAGACAGCTGAGAGACTCTGGGATGGTATAAATGCCCTCCAGTAAACACAGCAACATGAGTACGCGAAACCCAGCGCTGGACTTGCACTTCCTCTCCCCGGAGCCTTTGGGTGTTAGTCTAGTGTAAATGCAGCAACAGAGGTAAAGATGTATGATCCAGCCAGACACCAAAACACCCAGTATGTAAATGGCATTGAGTGTTAAACAAAGATAAACCTGAGAGAAAAAGACAAAATACAAAATATTTCTAATCCTGCTTGAAATAATTTTAGCAGCTACTACTACAGAGTAATGTTTGTTTGGGTTTTTCCAGTTTGTCTTGGTACTCTTTTATTTTTACATACTTTTTTCAACATTTGTTTATAATCCACTTTCAGTCGGTTAATATGTATGCTCTCTGGTTTAGCAATAACTCATTATCTTTTAATTCTATCCACAGAAAAGCACGATCACTATGGTATGTATAACCATAAGCTCACAAACTTATTTTACAGTTCTCGTGTATTTTACGCAGTTTGTCTACTCACAACCAATTTCTTTATATTAAATTTATATTTAACCCCGTGTTGCCAGTCTTTCTTGAAAATAAATGAGAGAATTACTTAAGATATCAGCAGTCTCTACAACTGTATACTCAAAGAGTACCAAGTAAAGTGTAGTAATTCCTTAATACTACAATGTTCAATTAATGATAAAAAGATCTATGGATTTTAGCCAAACAAAGCAAAATAAGAATGGAAACCTTAATGTTCATTTCAGAAATACTCAACCAAGAGCTCTATCATTCCTTAATTCTTTATGAAGTTTTTATTCCTTCCCCCTTGCCTCCCCCTCCCTTCTCCCCCTCCTCTTCCTCCCCTCCCCCTTTTTCTTCCGTCTTTCACTATGCAGTTCAGGCTAGCCTTGAGATTACTTTGTAGGCCAGGCTGTTCTTGAACTCTCAAAATCCTCCTACCTGAGCCTACCAAGAACTAGAATTACAGGCCTATGCCACCACACCCAGCTTTTATTTCTTACTGAAGACAGTTTTATGAACATCATTTAACACAAAAGATTTAACCCCAGATTTTCAAATATAGTAAATAGTTAAGTATCATTTCTAGCTAAAAACAAATTTTAATACAATTCAAAGTAAAATAACTAATGAAGCAAGAAATTTTGCAATGCATACTTAAGTTACACAATGTGAGAAGACATAGAATTATCAGAGAATAAGAGAATTCATTTAGAACAAGAAAAGAATTACAATTATGAAAAACATTGCCAAATATGGAAATAAGCATAAATGGAAGATAAATAAGTCATTTTTAAATCTTTTAAAACTAAGAAAACTGAACAGAAATGCTTCAAAAACACCAATACAATATTTATAATATTTTAACACCTACGCTACCTTTAAAAGTTTTTTTAAAAAGAGGTAATGACAATTAATTCTTATTTTCTACAAAGAAACTAATGTCAAACCGCTACTAGGAAGAATTTACATGAAAGAAAAAAGAACTATCAAACTGGACTCAACTAAGTTGAAATTTATAATACTTGAATCTTTTCTGGACTAAAGACACCTTTTAAAATCTAAAGAGTTTATTCCAAAAATACAAATCAAATTTTAATGATCTCTTCTTAAATATTTTATATGTAAGATAATAAGGAGTTTTATTCAGTCATTAAAAGTGTCCAAAACCCTGAAGACTTGAGTACTGCTTTAATATTAAAGTAATCTATAATATTCTTTTTTGTTGTTGTTACTGAGACTAGCCTTTTCTTTAGTTTGAATAATGTCACATTTTTCTAGTAGAAGTAAAAGTATCAGCTTTGCTACTAAAAAGAGAAAAACAACTCATAATACATAAAAGCAATCAGAAGATACAATTTTTAATAGAAAAATTTCAATTTAATTATATTTTATACAATGTTTTCCCTCTGAAGAGGCATCATCATTTAACTCATAACTCTGACAACTTAAAGGGATAAATGGGCTTGTAGATTTGTTAACAATTGTGTGTTTACCTGTGGGTTTGAAGTAAGAAACAACAGCATTTCCTTCCAGTTCGGATGGTGTATAACTTCTCTTCAAATAAACCGAAAAGGCTACCTCTCTAGTTGTCTCCGGTGCTATAAGCAAATTACAAGCAATATAAATTATATCACCAAGGCAAATGCTATTGACAACAGTTAGTAAAGCATATACTGTGTGCCAGTCCTGTCATGAGCACTTTAAGCAGAGTCTTAAGCACAGAATCTTCTACACAAGACTGGTGCAACCATTGTGGAAATCAGTATGGATATTTCTCAACAAACTAGGATTGGAAGTCTCATTCAATCCAGCTATTCCACTTCTGGGTATTTTCTGAGAAAAATTGAAAATGTCATGCCACACAATATATGTGCGCCCATGTTTATAGCAGCACAATTTGTAATAGCTAAATCTTGGAAACAACCTAAATGCCCATCAACCATACAATGAATAAAAAAGATGTGGTATTTTCATACAATGGAATATTACTCAGCTATAAAAAGGATAACCTTGAGGCTTTTATAGGTAAATGGATGCAACTAAAGACCATACTCTTAAGTGAAATAAATCAAACTCATATTTATAAATATTGTATTATCTCCCTAGTATAAAAAATAAAAATTAAAAACTGAATGAGTTAATAAGATTCAAAATGTACAAGAGATACTGTGATAGTGAAAGGGAAAGAAAGTACTCAAAAGGTAAAGACAACTGGGATAGGGAAAGGGAGAAAAGGAAGACAGAAAAGATTATATGTATGTAAGTATACATATATAAATGCATGTATGTATATGTATACAAGAAAGATAACTATACTATTAATTCTCTGTTAGTTCATCAAAAAGAATAGTTTGTGCTGTCTTTGTTTGATCATTTTTTGTGCCTAGACTTGTAACCTGGACGACTACCTCTAAAATAACAATATGTAATATATATTTACTAGTGCTAATTTTCTACTACTTTTTAAAAATTTTGTATCACTTCTTTTTTTTTCTGTTTTGCTTTTTAAAATAAAAAAGACAAAGAAAGAATCTACACAACAGAACCTTACTAGGAGTTGCTAATTACAACATGTCCATGTCTACCATTTTAGGCACTGTCATGGAATCTAATAATTTTCCAATTAAATCTTCAAGGTAACCCTGCAGTGGAGATAATATTCTTTTTGGCCATTAACATAACTGTGGCTTAAGTGACTAGTAAAATAGTTTGCCCAAAATTATGTATCATTGAGTGGCAGAGTTAGATTCAAACTCAGGCCAAACCTAAAACTAATATTCTTTCTTTAAATGTTACTGATACAAAAGAAACACTAATAGAGAAAGCCTTTCAAGTTACACTATTTAAAAACAATAACAGGCCAACTACTATGAAAAAGCACTTATAAATATGTAGCCCTAAAAAATAATTAGTTGAATGTTTATGCTTGTTACTTGCAGAGAAAATACAAACAAAGAAACATAAACATTGGTTTTGGAAAAATTTTGTTTTCAGTATTTAGACAGAAAAGAAACCATGAAATAAACACACCAATATTATTCTTCTGAAAATCCCTGCACCATGGTAAACTTCAAGGCACAACAAAACTCACCCATGAAGTCAAAGCTGAAGTGATCACAAGTCAGTGCTAGTGGTGGCTGCACATAGACTGACAATTTGACTTTCTGCAGAGCCAGTCGGCTCTGCAGTACAACCTATGAGGACACAAAGTGTGATTAATAGAAAATTATATTTATCCAAATTTAAAGACTTTTGTAACTACTTAAACATCACTAGAAAATAATTAGAAAAGCCAAGATAAAATGTTGAGCCACAAAAAATACAACTTTCATGGCAGATTAAAAAGTTCTACCAATTAGAAAATGGGCAAAGGAGATGAACAGATTTTTCTACAGAGAAGATACAAAGAGGGCCAATGTACACTGTGATAATTGGTGTCTTTATTCATTAAGGAAAAACAAACCAAAATCACAATGATCTACTACCACACAAACACTGAAACAACTGAAATCAAAAGGGCAGACAACAGGTGTCAGCAAGGCACTAGAGGAGCCAGAGCCTCCCGCAGTGCCAGTGGAATGAAATGGTACAACCACTGAAGACCAGATTGGCAATTTCTTTAAAAATCTAAACAAAAGTTTACCACACCACCTCACAACTCCATGGCAAAAGAAATGAAAATATGTCACCCAAAAATTTGAACAAATGCCCACAGCAACATTATTCATGAGAGCCAAAGAATAGAAGCAATCCAAATGTCCATCATGATGAATGTATAAACAGAAGTGTCACATCTATATAATGAAACAGTATTCACCAAAAGAGAGAAGGACATGATGTATCCGTGCATGCTACAATATACATGTGCCTTAAAAATCTTATGCTAAGTGAAAGAGGCCAGTCACAGAGAACCATATATTATATAATCCTATTATTTGAAATGTGTAGATCAGGTGAATCTATAGAAAAAAAGATTAATAGCTGCTTTCAGGACAGATGGGAATGTCGGCTAACAGGGACGGTAAATCTTTTACTAGAGACAAAATGTTTTAAAACGAGGTTGTGATGATAGTTCCCCAATTCTGCAAATAAACTGAAAGTCACTGAAGTGTGTGAGTTGCGTGGTATGTGAATTATATCTCCATTAGGCTGTTTAAAAAGTTCTTCCCTCACGGCTACTGAATACTGAATACTTCCCATGGCTACTCATGGCTATTGAACTACATCAAGAAATAAATGTGTTCATTCTTTTTTCACATATAGTTACATTGCCATGACATATTTATCTTATCTGGTATCAGTCACTTCCTCTTAAGTTACTCTCCTGTGATTGCCTTACTTAATGCATTTACCCTACTCTACATATCTATCTAAGCACTGCATTTGCTTCCATGACTTCTCACACCAGTTCTAAAAAATACCAAAGAATAGTGACATTGACTTGTGCATTTCTGGTGGTTTTTTTTTTTTTTTTTTTTTTTATTGGTACCAGGGATCGAACTCATGACTGCCTGCTTGCAAGGCAGGTGCTTATGCTGCTGAGCTAAATCCCCCGCCCCAGACTTGTGCATTTCTAAAGCAGTCGTTTTTCCAAACTACTGCTCCTGCCTGATGATGCTAAGAAAAATCCTCTAAGCTCAACAGGAATCACTGCCTAAGCGCTCAGGGGTAAAAACCGGCATGGGGAACAGGGTGAGAATGGGCTCAGAAAGACAGGTTTTCTTACCCTTACCAGGAAAAGAGCCTCAGCTGAAGCCAAAAGACCAAAGATCTTCACTGGACCCATTCTACAGTGTTATTTTTAGGCCATCAGAGAAAAGCTTAATGGCCTGACTTGCACTGGACATGCTCTCTCTTTGGATTTGGTCTCCTAGAAGTTCCAGCCTCCTTACTTAGTATGTTTGAGATGGTGTATGACAGGTGTTAAAATAGCACAATCACCACTTTCAGTAGGGTCACCAAATCGAGTCAGAATCTCCAAGGCAGACCCAAGTACTGATATTTTCACAGCAGCCCCCCATCCCAGTGACTCTTACACCCAGGAGTCACTGGCTGATTAAGAGCCTCTTCTGTGTGGTATCATCTTTGCTCTGGAGAAGGTCAGGCTACTGACGAGATTCCCATAGGAGACAGTCATCCTAATATTAACAGACACAGTGTAAGGATGTCCTTATTTTTAAGAAAAGCACTTCTGAATCTTCTCTTCAGCAAAATGCATGTATCACCTATTCCTTAATTATATAGACATATATATGTATTAATTTAAAATGTACAAAATTTTGCAACTGGACTGCAAATCTTATACAGATATAGCCAGTAAGTGTATTAATTTTAAGTCAGCATTTTATACAACTTAAAAATAGATTAAGCATAAAAATTTTGAGTTCCAAAGTAAAATTTTTTTTAAAAATTATTGATGCAAACAAATATGATAAATATAGCAAATTAGTAACGAATCACTGGTTTACTTTGTAAACACTTGTAGTACAACAGAAAATTAGCAAGTCACAAACAAAAGTTCCTCAATGACATCTGACGATGCCATTAATAGCATAACATCTTGGCAAGAAAAAAACCATGCAAGTGGTTCAAACAACCTTCTTCCAAATAGCTAGCCCACTGAACAGAACAAAGTTTAAGTATGTTACAATTGACAGTAAGATAAGATAGTGCTAGTCTCTATGTGTACTTTAAATAAAATTAGTAATATTAATAATCATAGCCATCTTCAGCCTTCTATAAATCATGCCACCATGCTAATAAGTCACTTCTGTGCATTATCCCATTTCACCTTCACAACAGTGTGAAGCAAGCACTATCAACACCATTCTACAGAAGAGAGCACTGTGCTTCCAAGTGGCCAAGCAATTTGTCCAAACCCACTGCATTACAGTTTATCTGCTGTGTGCCAGAATTCAGGGACTGTATCTTTTCAACCTATTAAAATTTAAATCTCAAAATAATTTTACAAATGACAATGGAACCCCATCTTCAGTTTGAAAATAGAAATTCAGAGGTAAAGATTGGTAAATGGAAGTTTGGAAGGTAAATAACATGTCCAAGAACACTGAGGCAACAAAGAGAGCTGAAAATCATGATCAAAACTTTACTTTCAAAGGAAAAATGAAAACACCTTAAAACAGTAACAAGCTGTTTGTAAAGGAAGCAGTATTCTGACCCTGTTAGTATAATGATGTCTACTTAAGACACAACTACACAATTTTACATTGTTACAAAGGGATTTGCTTTAGATGCATAATTGTGATAGCTCCCATATACAGACTTATTGAATCCCAACAATGTGCTGGGCAGTTATAAAACACGAATCAAAGAGATGTGACAAAAATAACTATCGTAACAAAGGATAGCTGTGCTTGAGCCAAAAAAAGAGTTAAAAACTTGGCTAGATCATAAACCTCCATTTTATGAGGAAAATAATTGTAGACTATTAAGAAAACATAAAATGTTAATACAAGAACTTTCCATGCTACTTTCTGCTTCTAACAAAATAAAATATAATCCTTAGGAAATATAATAGCAACGTTTTATCCCAGGTATATAAATATGACTCAAAAGACCAGGTACAAGCAGACACTCTACATTGCTGCCTGGAATCAATAGTCACACGTCATGGACACATACTCAGCATAGCCACATCTTCATTCATTCAGAACAGATGAATATTTTTCTCAATTAACAGGACTTACTATGATGGAAACTTGCATGGTTATACATCTTGGCTGCTATTGTTACAAAAGGCCGTAAGGGGAGAGATTTCTAGCAGAAATTTGTATAGAAACTGTCAGACAAGCTCAGGAAACCACTGTGTCTGCAGTGTGGGTCCGGGCAGTTCATGCAACTGTAGTATCCTGCATTCTTTTTCCTGCTTTCACAGTAGCAATGAGAAAGAGCAGTGCCTTGAGCATTCTCAAATATAGTAAATTTCAGTAACGGAGGAGAATTTTCAGCAGTGTCCTGCCATAATTTTAAGGTGTCTAGGAAAGTCAAAGAACTGCACAAAAGGAAAAGTGTGTTTACCTGTAGCAGTATCTCCTGGCTTGCTGGGCTTGGAGAGGGCAGCATAAGCAATATTATCTGACTCAGGCACAGGATTTCTCTTAGCAACTTACAGTATATGCCTGAGTTGTTTTGTGTATGTGCCTGAACACCATTATACATTGGTATGAAAGAGGTTTCCCGACACAAAAGTATAGATCATTCCTGGAACTTGAAAGTTATTTTTTCCCTTAAGTGTTTGATTTCCTGCCACTAATACCTTTGGAGACACAGAAGCATTAATGAGATAGAGCATTTAATTGGATGGGGGAAGGGAAACTGGGGAAAGACCACCCTTGTTTCCAGTGGCAAGAATTCAAAAAAAATTAGCTTAGGAAATTATAACAAGACTGGGTTCCCTTCAGCTCAAACCAAAGATCTTCACACTTGGGCCACCTGCTGGGCTGAGTGGTGTGAACACAACTGATGTGAACTGTGCTCTGTTGAGCTCTTCCAAGGGTAACAGCCCATAGTCTAGGAAAATAGCTTCGTCCAAGTTTTGACTAAGCAAATCGTCAAAATCCACAGCTTTTCCTGGCTTCTCTGGTCTGCACAGTGATAAGTATTTTCAGCTTAATAACATGCTGACTGATTACTACACTTTAATTTAAATGCCTCTTCAGAGGGTTCTGCATTTGATTTCTAATTCTAAAATTCTTCAGTGACAGGCCTAAAAGTCTTAACCAAAACCACATCCTTCATACTCTATTTTTCCAGAATCATCGATTTGTCACTACTGTACTTTGTGGCTTCTTCATTTATACTTTTTTGCTATAAATACATCCATTTAGAGTTAATGTTATGGCAGATAAATGGCTGGGAATTCTATTCAAACAACACAGAACCACACATGGAAGAGTGGTATTACCAGCCTTCATGTTCTTCCCAATATCATTTCACAGTCTTTCCCACATGCCGCCTACCATCAACTGGCTGGTCTGTTATGAATGAGGATGACATGATTTCTAGATCAGATTTAAAATCTTAACTTTACTTCTAGAGCAAAAGCCTGATTCATAATATACATTTAAATAAAGGTAGAAGATAGTTATAATAATTGTTTGTATTATATGCATATTACTATAAATGCAACTCTGAGCTTTATATTTGCAGGTAACAATGAAGGTTTTGCATTTACTACCCACAACTGAAGAAAACCTAAAGTTTCAAGCGTTTATTTTACTTTTCAATAAGCTACTGCCAGGGTAGCAAGAGTGACAGATGTGATGAAATATGCAATAAGGTTTGCACATTACCATATAAACCTGGTACAATACCTTCACTGTGATGGAAGGGACGAGGTCAGTTCCAATGTCAGCATCAGTGGCTTGCTGTAGACACAGAATTGAGAAGGGAAGGGAGGAAAGAATGATTTCAATATTAACCACCAAGCTTCAACCCAGCAGTACAGTATATACTCCTCATGTCATGTAGAGAAATAACTATAAAGGATTGATCCCTAGTGACAGGCTAAGAGTCAGTGTGTTTCATCTATGGAAACCTAACAGTGAGTATCATTATTGTGTACAATGAGTATGTGTTAACAATCACAGTAACTAAGATGAACTAAAAATATTTTACAAGTTATCAAAAAGAGTCACTGCAACTTTCTGGATGCCTTTATGTGGAAGGCTGTAAGCTAATCTTCGAAACTTACAACTCAAAAGGCAGATGTTTTATCCATCCTTTGTAATTTCTAATTTACTTGAATGTTAAAAGTATTAATTTGTTCTTATATTATGAGGAAGAAGCTCTCTCCTTCTATTTTCTAGTTAAATATTATGCCATTAGTTTAAGTGTTTACATATTTCAGTTCCCAAAAGATATGTCTTATTCAGATTGGTATGAATCTAAAACATATAATTAATGACACAGAAATTGAGTGGCCTTACACCTATAAAATGAAAATGGAAATGCACTTTCTGTGCAGTGCACATCATAAACTAATTCAATATACTCTCTTTGAGCATCAGCTTGGGTCACTTGGTACCAACTGCTACTTCTCATAGAACTCATAATACAATATGGCAAATAGACCTTATAACTTGGTACAACCAGAGTGGTACACTGAGAGAGAAAAAATGTTCAATCTATGATAGAAAAAGACCACAGGCTAACATATTTTCTAATAATACCCATATAAATTCTAATGCGAAATTACAATTATAATGTTTGTGCCCAACCAATGAATCATATCCACTGCACTATTTGGAACTTATTTTTACTAAGAAAAACTAAGCCACTAATGGACAATAGCAGAATGGAGAGTTCAGAGATTCTGTTTAGGGCTCCACAGCAAATCATATCTGACTGAACTCTAATGTAGTTGCTCAGTCAGTCAAGAAAACGTAACAGCAACGCTTGTCTCCACTACAAAAGATGCCCTTCTCCGATAAATTTCATTTCTGCTTTTGGGATACATGCTTTCATAACAATGACTCAAAACAAAATATTAATCCAGGCTTTTTGCTCCAACTATATTACCTACAACACAGGAAATGTTTCACATGAAACTGCCACAGATCTAGAAGAAAAATCAACATCTCCTGTTTCCTCCCTTTTTCAATTCATATCTAATTACCTAGATCTTTAAATACTGCTTTGAGAATATAAATGATAACCAGAGAGAAATGGCGTTAAGAAGACATAGCACCACAACCACATAAATTGTTGGGCTAAAGTTTTCCAGTGGGATGCATATGACACACTTGAAAAATCTCTCAAGGAAAAAATAGCAAACCAGGGAAGATGAAGCTGGAGGGAGACCCCTAGTTAAGAGGAATCAGTACATCAGGTTACCAGCAGGAAAATCTACATTACCACAAAGCACTTCCACATAAGGCCTCTACAAAAAGCAAGAGCTCCCCTCAAAAATGGAAAAGGAATTCCTTCCCAAACAGCCTTTGCTTAAGAGGAAAGAAAGAAAGAAAGAAAGAAAGAAAGAAAGAAAGAAAGAAAGAAAGAAAGAAAGAAAGAAAGAAAGAAAGAATGGATAGATGGATAGATAGATAATTTCCTAAAGAGGTAGGAGTGGGGGGACTCATTTCCACAGCAATAAAATGTGTGTAATTTGTCAGCTAGCTAAGCAGAAATATTTCCCTAAAACTGCTCCCTCAGAGAGCAGGAGAACTGCTGAGTGCTAAGGAGCAAGTCCAGAGCAGGGCTGCACTACGTGACCAGCCAGAGGTCAGTCCTTCAAAGCGTACCAGACTTACCACACTAAAATAAGGGGAGCGTGATCTTCATAAATTTGGATGAGCTATTTACACTGAGATTAATCTTTGAAGACTCATGACTACTTATGCTCTCATACTTAAATATCAGTGACATTTCCCGGGTAGATTTATAAATGACAGGAATTCTAAATATGGCAAAATGAGAAACTTCAATCACTTCCCTAACCTCATCAACTTCGAGCATAAACACATAAAGTTAATAAACTTAGTTCAAACCTCAGGCCAGCCCATGAGTCACAAGCCAACAGCCCAACCAGTACTTAAAAAGAACGAACAAGAAGATGGACTTATACCCAAAACAGTATCCCTTCCCCTTGCCCTCTCTGCTTTACTTAGCACCTATTATGTGGTAAACACTAAGGATACAAAGGTGAACAAGACAAGTACAAGGTGTAGGTGCCGGTATTTTGATGATGGTTCTAGAGGATGTAAAAAACTAATTTAATGATCATAATTGTAACAATGCAACAAAACATATTTTATTCTTACTCTCATTTTGCAGATAAGAACATTATTTTGAGTCACATAGACAGAAATTAAGGGAAAAATAATCCCTGGAGCAACTATTTGTACTTTTGGTCACCACAAGGTATTAAAAAACCATAAATCATCAGTCCCTGCACTGGGCCATTTACAAACATTATTTCATTGAACCTTCCATACAATCTTGTGGGTGTGGCTGTTATATATCTGGGTAAGGATGATCTCAATACTATAGTGCTGACGAGTTTTCTTTTTTTTCAACAGGTAGACTCAGAACAAGAACAAAGAAGCTTTTCTATTGCTCCCCTCACTTCTTTTTCAAACAGAAATCCTTCCAAAAAGCTCCTTACTGGGCAAGATGCTGAGTATTTAAGCTAATACATTTTTATCCCAATTTAAAATATGTAAATACACCTACAGACACTGAATCAAAGTTCGGAGAAACCGTGGCAAAAACTCTTAAGTCATCTTCTCTCTCAGTCATCGGCCAAACACCTGCAATTTAAAAAACATATATAGGTATGTATGTTTAATAATAAAGTAAAACTTTTAGTTTACATTTAGTTTTATTTAAATATTTGTCTCTAGCATTATAGCAACCTCAGAAATTCAAATTGAAAAAAATTAATGTATTACAACTGGGCATAATGGTACAAGCCTATAATCCCAGCACTCAGGAGGCTGAAATACAAGGACTGCCGTGAGTTAAAGGCCAGCATGGGCTACACAGTGAGCTCAAAGCCTGGAATATATAGAAAGACCCTGTAAAAAAATACTTAATGTATTAAAGAATTAAAAACTTGATGCTATTTCCCACCACAATATTACAAAGAAAAATTATCTCTGTTTTCAAACATAGTTGAAATTTGAGCCATTGACTCACCAACATTGGTAATTTTTTTAAAAATTTCAATAGATTTATTTAAAGTTAGGGCAGGCTAATAGGATGAGATAGTGTATCAATGAGTGCTCACTAGAGAAACAGATTTAATATAAGATATACATATAAATATCATCAGGATTTACAAGGTAGGCTTACAATGGCTGCCTGCAGAATCAAGTGTGGAATTATACAAGAAGGCTGTCTATGTGCTATAGGTCTGAAGGATCCAATCAAAGATTGAAGGCCTGGAGCTCACTGTACAGTCTCTAGTAAGACTATATCAGGAAGTCAAAGGGTTTGTGCTAGAAAACTGAAGCATCTGCACTGGAGCCCAGGAGATGAAGATCCAAGGTGAACAAACACTGGTAATTTTTTTTTTTTTTAATCGGTACCGGGATCGAACTCACCCTTGCAAAGCAGGTGCTTATGCCGCTGAGCTAAATCCCCAGCTCCCAAACACTGGTAATTTTAATGCTCTCTCCTTTACTATTAACGAAAACACCAACTCCTTTAGGACAACTCCTCCTTTCAAGATAAGTTGGCTTTCATTATGAACACGTAAAACATACATATCCTGTGATTTAACAATTCTATTTCCAAGAATTTATCCAATACACATAGACATGCCCAAGGAGATTCTGTTATTATTTTTTAAAAGTAAAACAAACATCTGTAACGATTGAAAAATGGTAAAATGGAATGAAATATTTGTAAGAAACGAAGTACATAAACCTGAATGCTTTGTAGAATCCACAACTCAAGTTTTATTACAAAAATTTACTCATTTACTCAAAACTTTACTCATGTTAATTGTGCAAATGTTTCACTGTGATGTTCCCATATATGCATACATACAAAGTCTGAAACAAATTTCTTGTAAGGAGTGGACCTAGCATCTGAGGTAAAAGGACAGCCTCTTTTCATTGTCTGTGCAGTCACTTCCATCTTAATCACATGTGGTCCTATCACTCCACATGCACGACTATAGTCTAGATACAACCTGAGTCTCCCCACAGGTGCTGAGCTGGGAGCTTGGTCTGCAGTGTGGGGATGTTAAGGCCAAGAGGACTTTAAGAGACTGGGCCAGCTGAGCGGTCCTCAAGTAACTAAAGGCACTGCCCTTTGAAGGATAATGTAGCTCTTGTGGGATAATAGCAAGCTCTTGCAAGATGGCAGTTATTAAAAGGGCAAGACTGCCCCACCAGTCCCACATTTCTCCCTCTCTCTCCTTGTGATCTCTCTCCCTCAACAAACCCCAGCCAATGTGATACCATCTGCCCTGAGGTCCTCACCAGAAGTGAGCAGATGCTGGTGCCATGCCCTTAATCTTCCAGAACTGTGAGCTAAGTAACCTTTTTTTCCTTATAAAGTACCTAGTTCTAAGCATTTAGCTACAACAACAAAAAGCAGACTAATCTACACATGCTATTTTCATAATTTTAAATATGCTTTTGTTACATAGCTACTATAAACAAGTATGTTACTTATTTATTACTTGACATGTGACATGAAGAGCTCAGAGGAAGAAATGTTTATTTTGACTCACAGTTTCAGGGGATTCAGTCCATGGTTGGCTCTTACACAGAAATGTCATGGTAGAAGAGCACAACAGGGGACAGCTGTTTACCTCATGAGAGTCAGGAAGCAGAGAAATGGTGAGAGAGCCAGAGAAGCAAGAACTAGGAACAAATATGGTCCCCAAAGTCACACCTGCTCACCAGCTCCCTCCAGTGAGGCCCTCTCATTGGAACTCCTCTTTCTATCATTCCCTGTCTCATCATTGAGTAAATTCATCCACCAATGACGTTAATGCCCTTAGCTCCTATCACTCCTCTGGCTCCCTGCTGCATTAGAGATCAAGCTCTGGGTCCATGAGTAATTTTAGGGGATACTTTGCACTTAAACTGTAACAAAAAACAACGGAGATCCTAAATAAATAACGTAATTTATATTTGTGTAATACACCTGTATATGTATACATGCATATGTATACACATCTACATCAAGTAACTGGCTGCCTACCCAACAGCCATTCTTCCTCCCTCTTTGTGGCAGAGTTCTAATTTTGTTGTAGTACTCAACTCCACCTCTGGGAAAACCACCTCTTCCAGCCTCCAGGGTCAAACCCAGTCAGTCATTCCATCTTACTCATATTAGTGGTTTTTGGCATGCACATAAGTATTAGTCCTGATAAAGTAGAGGTAAAGAAAATTGGGGAAGACAGCACTGGCACAAGCTTCTAGGAAAATGGTTCCTTCCTATTTTGAGGGAGACTTTGGAGAAACAGCCCTCTTTCCATAAATCATATCTTCATTCAAAACCTGGAACTGTTTAGGTCACCTTGTGTCTGTGAGGAAACATTCATACATTGAGAACAGATAACTAAAATCGATGAGGTCAAAGAAGATGTTATCTTAGTTACTTTTCTCTTACTGCTGAGACAAAATACCTAACACCCAAAGTTAAAGGGGCAAGGTTTATTTAGCTCACAGTTTGTAGAAGTTTCAGTTTATAATCAGCTAGCTCCAAGGCAGGGTGGCACATGGCAACAGGGCCTTCTTCTACAATCTGGGTGGAAGCTTCCCTGACCCCACAACTCTTGCATTCTGCATGTACAGAAACCTAGCACCACACAGATATGTCAAGATCTGCCATCCATTGGGACAGTAGACAAGCTTCCTTTTCTCTTTGCTATAGGAGTCCAATGCCTATGAACCAAATTCAGAGGAACAATTTTCCCAGGGCACTACCATTCTGGAACAGAGTGCTTTCGGGTTCTCGTCTCAAAGCACTCTTTCACTTTTGAGGCTGCAATACTGAAGCTATAAAGAATAAGTCCTCTTCTCCTTCTTCTTATGCCCTCAGGCTATCTTTTCTATTCTCCTGTTCCATCTCAACAATCAAGATCTCTTCTGTTCTATCTTTGTAGTCCACAGCTTCGAAGCTTCCTTTCTGGCCAAACTCAAAACATTTTAAATCATTCTCCTGGCCTCTTTGCTCTTGATTCTCAATATATATCTGGCTAAAATGCCCCATCAGCAACTATGCAATGGCCACAACATTAGATTGCCTTAAAATTTTTCTGCCAGATTAATTAATCTGCATCTTTAATATTAGCCTCACACAAAGTCTCTAGACACAAGCAAAATGCAGACAAATTTTCTGCCAAGCCATAACACACATCATCTGGAGTCTAACAACCAATGCATTCCTTGTTCCCAGCAGAAACCTTCCAAGCCTGGTGTTTACCAGCAGGATTTCTTCCAGCCTTCTGGTCTGAGCTCTGGCCAGTATCTCCCATACAGTACAGGCTAAAGTGCTACAGCTCCAATTTTTCAATGGGCATCTCTAAATATTTCCAAACTCTACCCCTTCCCACAACCCAGTTCCAAAGGCTCTTGAGCCACATGGATAGGCAGAGTCACAGAAACACCACACTTTTCCAGTAGTAAATTCTGCCTTAGTTACTTTTCTCTTGCTGTTGAAACAAAATACTCAATATAAAAGTTAAAGGGTATGGAAGTTTCAATCCATAATTGGCTGGCTCCGAGGCAGGGTGACACATGTAGAGGGGCAATCATTCATGGTGGTAGAAGACAGCAAAAGCAATAAGGGAGGGACCTCTACCTGGTGGACAGAAGGTAGCAAAGCAACAAGATAACTTAACAGCATCTTTCAGTCCTTTTTATATTCTATCTAGGCTACCTGGATTAGAGTGGTGCTAAACCAATCAGTGGACAGATTTAGTAATCACCCATTCTTAATGGCACCACTTAAATCAACATACACTTTAGATCCAGCCACCTCTGAAAAAGTTCCACCTATCAATACATGAAGCTTTGGGAGACAACTAAACATAAGCCATTACAGATGTGTTACAAGAAAAAAACTGTCCAAAACTGCCACACTTTCACACTTACACTGAGTATTTAAAAAGGGTATTTCTAAACCCAATGAGAATAGAAAAGGCAGCTCTTGCCTATCTCATAACCATTCATTCTCCAATTATTTATTAAAAGAAACATAATTTTATTCTGAGCAACAAAGCACTCAGCTAACATACTTAATTTCCCAGCCTACTTTTCATCTTGAAGAGCCCACTGAGATGTACATAGGAGCTATTCAGATTGTCAACTTCAGAGAAGCTCAGTCAGAGGCTGACTCAGCTGCAGATGTGAGGGCAAAGGTTCCAAAGTCATCCTGGACCAATAGCTGACCCTAGGATCCAGGAACCAAAATCCCAAATGACCATGGAATTGTCAAGCTGATCTTGGACTCCTCATCCATTGATTTCTTGTGCATCAGAAAAAAATGAACCTCTATACTCTTTTAAGCTGCCTTATTCAGGTATTCCATTCCATGTAGCCAGTCATAAACTTAAATGAATAAGGTCACCAAGTTCCAAGGTTTCAGGACTCAGTGGAAAAATCAATTTGATCATGCTGTAAGACAGATTTCAAATGGGATACAGCCTCACATACACACCCATGTCTCTCCCTCTTCCTGAAGACACAGCTGTGTGTAGTGAGTGTCTTAAATCATACAGTCAGTGCTTCTCACACAGCCCAAATGCAAACTGTTGTCCAAACTGTTAGAAAGTTCCATTTCTAAAAGTTCTTATTACCAGGGACTGTTGATTATCACTAACAAAAATGCCAGGCAGAATTCACACTAATTAGCTGAATATGCAAGTTTCAGAATCCATAAGCCATTCAAAAGTTACCACTATAATTTCATGCTTACAACATTCATTCCTCATATAATTTACACACATAAAGACAGCTTCAAAACTCTTTTATTATATTTTATTTTATTAGATAATATACACCATGTGTACAAGAAAATGTACTCTTTAAACTGACTTTAAATTTTGCTGCAATTCCTCCTTTGAAAAGGTTTTAAAAAGCTTGTTAAATACAGAACATAACCCACAAGACTGTCAACTTCTCTTGTAAAGCCACTGTACTAAAATAAGTAACATTTGAATGAGTGAAGCCATCAAAAATTTCAGTTTTAACTTCTCATAATCTGTAATAAAATAATGTGGTACTTTCATATGTAATTACAGGTATTTTAATGAACAACATACTAAAGATTTATAAGGGTACAGAATACTAAGCTTTTTTTCCATATCCAGAAGTAAAATGTTTTATAAGCACCTCTCTTTAAAAAATGTCTCTTTTAGGAATAAAACCAAGCAATAAGTAGCATAAAAAAGGAAATAGAAAAATTAACTAAACTTTGAGGTAATATAAAAAATGAACTTTGCACTCAAGTCTGGGCTTCACTAGCAGTTATACTGAGCTACACAAAAGGACCAAGGTCCTGAAAGAAAAAACAGGCTAAACCTTTTCAATCCTGGGCATCACTGTGGTGGCCAAGAAGATTTTTAGGCCTTTTCTGAGAAATTTCACACACAATTAATGTTAATCAAAGCTCGATTGTCACGAGCTAGCAACCGACCTCAATGGTACAGCACTAGGTTTAATTTCCAGTGCTGAAAACAAATACCATGAGCACACTGCTCAGGGAAAGGATAAAACATCGAGACGCAAAATTTGGAGAGAAAACCACATTATTTAACAAACACTCCAAACTTCATGCTTCATATGTGCCACTCTTTCTCAGTTACATATTTAAATAAAATGAGACTTGTATTTTCATTCATCCCCAAAATAATGATAATGTGAACAAAAAAAATTTTGTATACTGCAGTGTGACAGATCCAGTTCTAACTATTCTTTATCTGACATACGAGTGCTGACAACAAATAGGTAGTAATTGGAGGTATTTTAAAGGCCTGAGTTTCACTTGATCACTTTCAAAATGTCTAAAAGAATGTGTGAAGCCAAAGCATAATAACTCCATTTTTAATATTCATATTTTAAAAACATTTCATCTCAATTCCTTAGAACCAGAGGAACATAATCTTGTAACACAGACTCAAAAATACATAAATCTAGGAAAGTGACTGGATCAGGATTAAGATTGTTTTGGTTGGCTTTTGATGCTCGGCTTTTTATTATTCCTACTTACTTTAACATTTCTTTTTATGTGCAAGTAGTCCATATTTTTTCTCATTTAAAAAATACTTTTACCTGACCTTGAAAAGAGAACTTTAAGTAATGCTTTTCATATGTTCAACTCAAACTGCTGGATTGGTGTTTTGTTTCTCCTTTTAATTTACAATAAAATTATACCCTTGTGATTCTCAAAGTATGATAATATTGAGTTATACAAAACTCAGGAACTGAAAATATCATCAGTCTCTGAGTCATTAGAATCAACATATCACAGGCTACACTCCATTTGGTGGGCTAATTAACTCCAAACATAAATTACATCGCTAAGCTGCAAATTATTACATTTTTAATAGCAAAGTAGTAACTCATGTGTTGCTTTGGTTTCTTTTAAAAGAGGCAAGTAAATGTTTTCAGGGGTATTAGAAATTAATAAATGACCACTCTAAACTTTAATGTTCCTCCTATGGCCAAAAATACCCAAAGACGTATTTTTGTTTTTGTTGTTGTTGTTGTTGAGTTTAAAGAATAATGCTAGACAGGGCCATCTCCTGAAACACAAACGCATGTTTTCGACATGTTTTTCAGAAGACATATATACAAAGTTCACACAAAGCCTAAAGGACAACACTGTTTCTGCACTGTGACTTGAATGAAGCCTGGGGGAAGAGTATGACCTAGTGAGAGCACAGCATCCCCTACATATGAGACAATGTGAACTTCACAATGAACACTAAAATTGAATAATGAAAATCCACAGATGTGGTACCTTGTGACTTAACATCTTTAATGATTTTCTGAAGTTCTTTCAGCTCTGCATCAAGTTCTTTGTAGTTTAGTTCTCTAGATTCGACTTTTGGAGCCTGGAACAGGGAAGGATCCGTCCCCAGGTAGGAGCACTGCAAGTGGCCGTCGTCACTGAGGGTCACTATCACTCCCTTTAAGTCGCTATGGCAAGGAAGAGAAAAGGAGGCCTGATTAAAAGTTCTAGTGGAGTTAGTCCTGCCAACCCATATTTTCACTCAATCCAGCTTTAACGTACCTATAAGAAAATGACTGTAGTCCTGTTTTATCTCAATCTCCCCCTTATTGTTTCAAAAAAAAATTATTTAGTCATTTCTTATGTTTGTCTTAATTAAAGAAAAAATTCAAAAAAATTAGGATATATAAATAGTAACTCTTTTCGATTTCCTATTAACTTGTTTTGAAGTCCTGTAGTACTCCCACGATCTTGTTTTGACTGATTAGACTCTGTTCCATTCTATATGATAGTATCAAGTTTGAAGACATAGGCAACTACTTTGAAGACAATAAGATTCACTAAGATACTCATTCTGGTTTGACTATTGTCTTCTTTGGAAGTCCTGTAATGTTTACAATGCCTAAGTTTTATTGGTCTTGTTCTCTACTGTTTTGTCCAACTTTATAATATCTAATAAGATAGACAATTCTTTTTAAGGAAACAAGGGACAACGTTGATAACCATTGTTGATAACCTTGTACTCTGTTCTACACCATGTACTATGTCTATCCTTGGTATTGACTGACAGCTTTGTTTTGCCATATTTGACTGTATTCTCCCCCCCCCCAAAGAAAGTAATAAGCACTAAGGAGTAATAAAATCCAAGATGTGTAAAAAAAAAAAAAAAAGAAAAAAAGAAAATGACTGTATATCTATTTTTAAAGTTTTATTACAAAGATATAATTCAAATGTTTCAAATGCATTTATAAGTTCCCCAATGTTAAGATCCCTTACAAATGGGGAAAATCCTTAAAAATTATGTTAACAGAGCACTTTCGCTGTGACTGTACAGCAACCCAGCTCTGCAGGGCTCCTGCCATTTACCAAGTGAGCTGGGTCGCTGGCTGCATGGAGACCATGGGGAGGCCAGAAGCAGCAGCAAGGTCAGGACCACCCAGAGACAGAACAACGTGAAGGCTGGAGACGTCATGGGAGGCCTTGAAGGAAAATGTGCCCCTGTTCTGTTCCCATCCTTTCCCCACCTCACCTTTGGGCCCGACACAGGTCCCCAGCCTGCTCCTGCCACCCTTGCACTCTCCCAGGTCTCGGGTTTGTCCTCTATTCTGCTCTACTCTTAGAAACAGTCTGAGGTCCTGCTTAGTAGCTATTTCTCCAGAATTCTTCACGCCCAGTGACCTGTGTCCCTCCCCATCTGCTATGGTTAGAATGTGGACCCCAATGCCTTGAGGAACTGAATCCCAATGCAGCAGGATTGAGACAGGACCTTTGGAGTGAGGAGTCAGTGGCCCAAGTTCCACCTGGCGAGAGGACTAAGACTGGTTACCAGAGCCCTGGGGCTGCTTCCCGGCTCAGCCGTGGCTCAGTGGGGCTGTACTCTCATCTCCTGAGTACACCACATACAGCACAGCATGAAGTCCCACAGCAGATGTGGGCCCTGGCTATTGAGCTCTTCATCCCGTAGATCTTCAACCAGAAAACTCTCTTTGCTTTATAAATTAGCCAGGCTCTGATGTTCTAACAGCACAAAATAGGCTAAAATATCATCCTTTCCTCTTTTCTTAGGCTCCTTGGCCTCTGTTTTACTATTAAATTCATAATATAGTAACTGTGGGTAACTTTAACTTTTAGGAAACAGCTTTACACAGAAAAAGAAAATCAACCTTACTGTAAGTCATTTTGACTTGATAAAGAACTTACTCAGTTTCTACATTTTCAACAGTAGCCACTGATTAAAAAAAACAAAGACTGCATTCTAAAGATTAACTGTTAACCAAATATAACAGAAGAAATTTGTGAGATAAAAGAGGATGAAAAATGCTGCTGAAGTAGTGAATGGGACAGAAGACATACAACAGATAAAAGATGTAGGATGTTGGGCTTATTCTGGAAAAATAAAGTCTAAACTCCCAACTTGGATCACTGCAAATGGCCATCTCATTAATATAGAAGCTCCACTGGGTTAACATTGCTCCACCCTTCCTGTAAGGACCACCATGCCCACTTCACTGCCTTACGCACAGCATTCCAGCGTGTAGCTCCTCCAGGGCACAGTACAGGTCACACAGCCCAGTGATGTGGCCTCAGAATGAAAACAGAGGGCTGCTACTAACACAGCAGGTAGAGAACTACACCAGGAGTCGACCTGGAGAAGTCTCCTAAAAGCTCTAAAATTAGGAGGTAAAGTTAGATGAACCCCAAAATCTTTAAATTGTATGACTTGTTCTGTCATCTACCTAATTTTCCTGAATTAGTGAAGGGCAACTCTCTTAGTAACATTGCTCTCAACTTTTCTTTCAAGACAACTGAAGCCACCTAGTGGCCAAGGAAGTTATAACTGCAGCTCTTCAGAGCCTCCTTAGAGAAGAGTCTGAGTCTCCTTTCCTTCCAGCTATCCAGTGCCACCAAGGTCTAGCTAGGGACTAGAGCTCAGGAAGCTCTGGGACTCCCACTAAGCCCTCCGACAAGCATCCAAACAGTGGTGTCCCCTCACCCCATTTTTCTAATGTTTTAAATAATAAAAGTACTTAAAAGAAATTTTATGAATTACCTATACTAACTATAAGATGTATTTTATATGTGGAACAAGACAATATACATACAACACAGCTGGGGGTCAACTTGAAGACGCATTTAGAATGTTTACAATGTTAAAGATCAGGTCTTTAGTTTCTCAGAGAATGCAAAAATCACCTATTCTTTGAATTAAAAAAGCTATTTCCATGACATACACACCGTTGGGGAGGTCCATAAACTAGAAAAGCCAGCATGAACCTATGTAAGTATCTCTCCACACTAAAATTGGTTTAGTCTTTAAACTGGATAGTTTATTACTAATCAATTTCATTCCATTTTTTTTTTTAGAAAATAAAGAGCTGTTAGTTGAAACAAAAGGGATATATCTTTAAAAATTTATCAGAATCTACTGAGTCTTAGAGTTCAAATTGTAAGACTTTTAGCTATTGACTCTGAAAAAGCAGTCTATTTGGTGTTGGAGGTATCCAAATAAGAAAGAAAGAAACTGAGGTCTTCTCTCAGTGAAAGAGTCATCAAAATATCTTGGCAATAAAAGTAATTACAGAACTTAAACAATTTACTTTTCTCCCATTGATGCCATCAGTTCACCTCCACGTAATTTAGATCAACTAACAGAAATTTAAACTGTAAGTGGATTCATTTAACATAGTTTTTTACTTTGCAAGAATAAGACTTAGAAACTAAAAGCAGTGAAATCTGTCTAAAACATCTAATATAGACACAGACTTTAACTCAGGATTGTAGAACTACTAAGTAAATAACCACTATTATCATTAGCATCTTTAGGTGAAAAAAGAATTATAAATATAAACACAGATATATAGATACATAGACACATAAATATACTGTATCTCCTAAAGTGGAATTTACATACAAAGAGGAAAAGTAAAGAGCAAATTCAAGACTTTTAAAAATTATTCCTACTGACACTTTAACAATATCATCCATGTAGATTGATAGATAAGAGTCTTAAAATGGCAGAATTTAACTGAAAGGAGCCACCAGTTATATCTAACATTGTGTAATCTGTTGCTTCCAACAGAAAAACAGAACTAATATAGACGAAACTAAGGTCTTTGTAATATTTCTGGTCCTTGAAACACATTGGTTAACTCTAGTTACTATGATAATATATTTGTTAAAGAATCAAGGTCAAGGATGTTATATTCTTAGTACACATAATTATTTTGTAACCATAACAATAAGACATGATTAAACAATATAATTTATCTCAGGAGTCTGAAAGTAATTGTTTCATCATTCAGTAAACAGATCCCTGCCTTAACAATACATACAAACAAAATTTTAAATGGATACTAAAAGTTAAATATTTCATATTTTAAAATTTTTAAATAAGAAAAAGAAAAAATATTTACCTTCCTTTTGGATAGGAAGAACTATAGCTGCAAGAAAGCAACAGAAGAACTGTAACGGAAAGGAGCTCTAAAGGGAACCGCATAAAAATCTTAAAACTGCTATTTGCCTATAAAAACAACAGTAAGAACAATAAAAGATAAACTTGGAAAATATAGATAATAAATTAAGAAAATAAAAAACTGTAATTGAACTATATGAAGTTGTTGATGCTTTTTTTGACATATAAAAATTTTATACTTAGAAACTAACATATAAAGTATGTTCATAAATGAATGAAAATGTGATTATATCCCAACAGAAAAAAGTCACAGGATACATACAGAAAATTCATCTATAACAAATAGTCAAAAATAACTGGAAAATTTTCAAAATCAAAGGAAGGCATACTCTGAAATTATTTTTAAAAGCTATACTTGATTAACACCAAAAACTAGCAAAATAAAATATATTTAAAGAGTCCTACACTATTAGTGAACTGTATGCAGAGAGGCAAAGACAAACTTCTGCTGAGATTGCAACTTTGTTACAATCCTTTTAAAAAACATTTGAGGAATATTTTGAAACTCTTTAAAATGCTCAAAATGAATTTACACTGTAATCTGTTTCCACAGTTATTAAGAAAAATTTAGAAACAATGTAAATGAAAAGAGCAAAATATTTTTGTGCAAAATTATTGACACATTTATGGTGGAATGTTTAAAATTCACTAAAATCATGTTATATAACATATGTGCAACTAGAAATGTAGTAAAAAATACAGTGTGAACACAAAATATTGCATATCTCTTTTATTCAGTTTATAACAACTACAAAGGCAAATTGAAACACCAAAACATCACCCAGGGTTTGGAAGCAGATTTATTTAGGTCAGTGGGCACTGACCTCAAGAAAAAAATGTCAGGTCCTGATTTCTGGTTGTCTAGGGCTTATATGGAGCTTTCAAGCTGTAACTGTATAGAAATAGAGTACTTGGCTGTCTTTTGTTCTTACAATACACGTCATAGTGATCAGCTATATACCACAGTGACCAGCCATTTCTAAGAAACAAATAACAGGAATTGTAACAGGAACTGTTGCCTGAGCATCTAATAGAAAGTGAAGTATACTGGCTGGGGCAGCGGGTATTTTCTGTTACACAATGTAGTGTAAAACACAGAACAGAATGGTGAAATTGCTGTCCTAATACCTAGAATGGGAATAGTTGAGTTGAATGGAATTTCTACTTTTAAGTGTTCTGAAGAATTTCCAATGTGATTTTCATAGCAGCTGTACTACTTTAAATCCCCAAAAGCAGTGTAGAAGTTGTCCCTTTTCTCCCCCACCACCAGCCTTACCAGCATTCGTTATTGTTTCATTTCTTGATAACCATTCTTTCTGGAGTAAAATGGAATTTCAGTGTTGTTTTAATTTGCATTTCTCTAATGGCCAGCAATGTTGAGCCTTCTTTCATGTGTTTATTGCCATTTGTATTTCTTCTAAGAAATGTCTCTTCATTCAGGTACATATTTTTAGAACAGCCCATTTATTTTGAGGATCCAATGATTCTGAGTTCTTTATATATTCTAGAAATTAGAATTCTGTCTGAGATATTACTGGCAAGATTTTTTTTTGTACTCTGCAGGTTCTCTATTTTCTCCTTTGCTATGCAGAAGTTTTTAAATTTAATTTGATCCAATTTATTGATTCTTTATGTTATTTCTTGTGCAATTGGATTTCTGTTCAGAAAGTCCTTGGCTACACCTATGTCTTCAAGAGTTTTACCTAATTTATTTTCCACCAATTTGTTTTTGTATTTATGTTAGTCCTTTTGTCCCTTTGGATTTTATTTAGTACATGGTGGAGAAATGAGTCTGATTCAATCTTCTGTTTGTGGACAGCCATTTTTATCAGCATCATATGTGAAAGGGTCTCGCTTTCCTCCCGTGTATGTTTTTGGCCCCTTGTGCTCATTAAATTTTGTACGTATTTTTTAAAAAACGTTTTCATTAACAAATGAATAAATAAAGAAAATGTGGGTATTTTATATACAGTAAAGTACTACTCTGCCATAAAGGAGAATAAATCTGATCATCTGTAGGAAAATGACTACACCTTCAGACCATAATATTAAGTAACACAAACTACACACAAAGCTTAAATATCATATGGTTTCTCTTATTTAAGAAATTCAAAATACAAAGAAGAGAGAAAAATAAAAGATAACAGGAAGTAAGGAGATAGATCTTTTACAAAGGGAAAGGGGATAGAGAGATTCAGGGTTTGGGAGAGAAAGTAAATGAAATAAGATGTGTTATATACATGTACCAACCCCTCATGATGAAATAATCATTACATACTGCAAACATGGACTAATAAAAACTAAAATTGAAAAAAGATTTTCTGAAACATAAAAGAGAAAATTCTATGGTCTGTTTTCCAATCTCATTTTATATAAAAACAGAAACATTTTAAATAATCTAATTATCAAAGCTTTATTTTTATTGCTATAGACATGGTATATATCAAAGAAATCATAAAAGGGCCATGGATACAGCTCAGTGGCACAGTGCCTGCCTGGCAGACGCAAGGTCCCGAGTTTGATTCTCAGTACAAAAACAACAACAAATCATAAGAATTTAGAAACTATATATTACACCCAATGTTCACTCTGCACATGCAGAAGAGGCATAAGTTCCCCCTTCAAGGCAACCAACCAGACAGATTCAGTGCATGCAACAAAGCATTGCTTGGCCTCACAGGCCTACACATATGGGTCCTGAACCATTTCAAATCCGCCCATCATCATCCATCTATGACATGCTTGTTTTGCATCTGCTGTTCAACAGAAGATACAGGGTAAATAAGACACACTGCTGGCCCTATTTAAAAAAAAACTGTCTAACTAGAAAGCAAAAACCTTTTTTATTGCAATTGTGACCCAGTAGAGCAGATACAGCAGCACAGTGGAAGCGTGCAATAGGCTCAGAGCGAGGAGGATGGAGGGTTCACAGAGCAAGGACACAAAAGCTGCCCCTCAGCCTATGAGCACATCCTTGAACATGAAGAGAAAGGACGGAACAAACGCAAAGGACTTTAGCCCTGACCAACTTATTCAGTCTCACGACATTAAATACCCATTGTATGCTGATGTCCTTGTTTATACCTGCAGGAGGTTCTCTCCCCCAAAGTCCAGACTTTCACACAGACCTCTGGGGACAAAGAACACACAAACAGTAGCATATTCTGTCTTAGTTGTTTTCTCATTGCTGGGACAAAGTATCTGACACCTACAAACTAAAGAATGAAAAGTTTATTTTGGTTCACAATGTGTAGAGTTTCCAGCTCACAGTCAGCTGGCTCTGAGCCAGGGCAGTATGGCAGAGGGGCACAGCAGCAAAGAAAGACCTATGGCATTGATACATGCAGCTAAGTTAGATAAAATTATCACAGGCAGTCAGATAGGGCTGGGCTCTGGAAGGAGCCAGTGTAGTTAAGACCAGATACCTTGCAACTGTGGGGGAGACAGACATCCCCACGGTGGGCCAGACCTCAAGACAAAAGATAAAACAAATGCACCCACATACTTCCTAAAGATAAGCATCAGAGATTGATATATATATATATGTTTTTTTTTTTGTTTTTTTTTTTTGTCTTTTTCCTTTTTACTGGTACCGGGGATCAAACTCATGACTGCCTGCTTGCAAGGCAGGCACATATGCCGCTGAGCTAAATCCCCAGCCCCAGAGATTGATACTCCAAATAGGTATCCATCACCTTGAGAAAGCCAGAAGGAGCCACTATCCCAACCCCCTACAGGAAGGGCCCCTGTTCTGTATTCCTGCCCACTTGCTTGCTATGTGACTCACTTCCTCATTTGAAAAATTAATCAATTTTCTTGAGCAATGATATTTATGATCCTATTGGTTGGCAATAGTTCTGTCCCACCTTATGTCCACCTTGTGATTTCTTTTTCCTCCCCTTGGACTTGCCTTACCTTGTGGGTTTTCTTTATAAATACCCTAAAAAGGCAGTCCTTTTCTTTCAATAAATATATTCTGCTCTTCACCTCTATTGTTCCTAAAATTTATTCTTTAATTTTAGAGAACAGGAACTCGTACTAGACATTTAGCAGGCTTGGAGTTGCTTTTCCCCGTATCAGCATGGCAGACAGGAAGCAGAGAGCTTACTCTCCTTTCTGTCTGTCCCTTTATATTTCACCCATACTAGAAGCCTATTAGTTGTGTCACCCACATCCAGGATAGGCCTTCCTCTATCCATACCAGAACTACGCTAGTCCAATCAGTGAACTAATCCAGGTATCATTCCCTTATAATATCACTTAACCACGATTCCACCACCTCCAGAAAGCCTCATATATGAGCACATGAGGCTTTAGGGGTACATCTAGATAGAAGCCATAACACACTCATCAGGAAATACTGCCAGCCCTGCTTTTAAAAATCTGTCCACAACTCAACCACCTCTACTACATGCCTGGAACATCTCCCATGAACAACTGCTCTAACCAGTCTCCTGTCTGTGGCCTGTGCCTCACAGTAACGTCCCACACCACGTCAGCTGCTTTCCTTCTAGTGCGCCCCCACTGACACACGTAACAGAAGACCAAGTAGTTACAAGAGCTTTCATAGCCACACAATGTATCCCCAACTTCTCCTCTGCATTTCCTGTCATTCTGCACTTCACCTCCCCTTCTCCAGCCACACCTGCATGGGCTACTAAGTCCTCTGGTCCAGGACAGCAGGATGGACCTCAGTGAAAGCAAGTGTTCCGAAGTGGCAGCAGGAATGTGACAGTGCTGTGCTCTCAAGCATGGGGCCCGTAAACCCATCACACTGAGGGATGTTCACTGGAACAACGAGGCCCATCCAGTAAGCTCTGTATTGCCTATTACCATGCTTGCATACCTACGAGGAACCGGTAAATGCTAAGAAAAAAATTTTCCCTGCATTCTTAGAGGCCCACTCTCACACACTCTTACCTCAATGTATTCACGTGGGCTCTTTCCCTGGATGTGAGCAAGGATGGC